TTTTTGTCAGCAGCTATCTTGTTTTCATTTTCTTGTGGTCTCCCTGAGCGCTTCTTAGGTCCTCTGCTGGTATCTCATGAATTCCCTTAATGTGGGAGTGTGTGCAGTTTAATCCTTGAACCTCTTCTAATGTCCCACTACACTCCTGCCTTGACATCTCATCTCATGGCTTTAAACACCACCTACCTATGTGTCTCCATTTCTCCTGGAGACCCCTGAACTCTAGAATCCTGTGTCCAATTGTGCTTGTCTCTTCTGGGACGTCTGATAGGCATCTCTACCTTTATATGTCCAAAAGTGATTTCTTGAGCTCCCCAAATGTGTTCCTCCTGTAGTCCTCCACATTTCAGGTGAGAGGGACCCTCTACTTCTGGAGCTTGGCTGCACATTTCCACATATATTTAGAATACAGATGATGTTACATTCTTTATAAGTGCTTATCATTATAAAGAAAAAATTATTTAAGAGGCTTACATAAATCAGGTGAGGGAAATACGTGTTTCCAAAGTTATTTGCAGTGCGGGAGAAAAACGTTCCAATACCTCAGCCCTACCTGATGTGCTTCTCCCAGTACCTCTGATCTCATCTCCTGCCTGTGTCCTCGTCGCCCTCTCTGCTCCAACCACACAAGCCTCTGCCTTCTGAGGTGTTTCCTGTGGTTCAAATAAGGAGTTGATGAAAGTATGATTTCACAAATCACACAATTTGTTGTCACGCAAGGATAATTTTTCTTTTTGTTCAAAATGATTAAAGAGCAGGAGAATAACAAGAATAAATCTTACAAGGAATACAGTTATCTGCATAGTGAGTGAGTTCTGCAATTATTAAAACCTAGTTGCTCAGTTAAGATGGAAGCAGGCCTATGTGGAAAGTAAAGTCTAATTAAAGTTTGAGCTGTGCCTTCACATGAGGTTTTTTTAATTTGTTTTTGTGGGGGGGTTTTTTGAGAAATGGCTCTAACACAGCAGAGATTCAAGACTACAGGTAAGGTCCCTGGACTAGAGGGCAGTGTTAGTCTTGGCATCCAGGCTTTAGAGGTCACCTTGAAGGCTAACAGGTGTCTTTGGAGAAGCAGCTGACACTGCAGCCCTGTCACAGCCTATGATGCTCTTTGTCTGCAGAGAGGCTGCAGAGTATAAGCCGCCATGCCTAAACTCTCAAAGTGTTTGTCAGACGCTTGAATTTATGTATATTTTGAGGTTCAGTAGCTGAGGTTAATAACTCACATATAGGGTTTGATAGATGCAATGTAACATTTTCTGTAACATTCCCTAGGGCAGAGGGAATTCACTCCAAACACATTATCGAGAGGAGGGAGAGTTCATTCCCAGTTCTCACGTTTGGGCTCTGATAAGGTTTGATGTACCATTCTCAAGGGGAAGAAGAGTGTACTCCAGGTTCTTACCACAGCCAAACATGTATGATTCACTCTTCAGTCTATGTGTTTGGAACCATTTTGAAGCTATATAACATGGGGCCAATGTTGTTAGTGCCTCAGGGCCTTCACTTGAGCTGTTTCTCTGCCTAGGACTCTCTGGCTCCCTACCTGCAGCTGGCAAACTCTTTAATCTTTGGTCTTTGTTCTTATATCACCTTCTCAATGTAGACTTCTGTGAACCACTTCTTACCCCTGATTAACATTCCAGCCTTACCCTTACTTCCACTTCTGGTCCATATTGCTTGCTCTGCATATTTCTTTCCGCTCTGTCACCTCCCACTGTCTAGACACTGGTGACAACAAGGCCCCAAGGGAAGAGCAGAGCCAGAAGGTGGCAAGTGTGCTGGGCTTGCCCCTCTGAGTGCTGAGGCATTTTGCAAATTGTCTCTTGTGTCTCCTTATCTGAGATTCCATTCACATAGGTTCAGTCCTGTCCTTAAAATATTTAAAGTTGATTTTATTTTGTATCCAGCATTGAGTATCAAGGCTTCCTTTCCCCCATTTCTGAGGGCTGAGATCAGTCTGTGATCCCCGTGGGGAGAGGGAGCTGTGCTCTGCATGGGGTTTGGTCAGGACTAAGTCTGTGCTCTAAAGAGGAGCCCTGTCCAGCCCAGCTGCCCTCTGCTGCAGTGCAGGTGGGGGCTTCACAAGAAGCGGAGCAAGTTCTGAAGAAAGGGGTGAGAAACTCATTTGTTGGCCTTCCTGTAGGAGTTTATCATCCCTGCCTCTCCCTTGGTACAGTGGGCAGCAGAGGATTGTCTTCCCACATGGTGGGTCTTCCTTGTGCATATGGTTGTGGCACAGGAAGGGGGTGTGCTGATTATAAAAATTAAAGTTTATTATTGCATTCAGGATTGACTTCTAAAGACTCATGGTACCTGAGGAAGAAGCCCAAAAGAAGAGGAAAAGGAAAGTAAAGGTGTCAGGAATGGCTCTCACTCAGGTAAAGTGATATTCTTGGTTGATTGTTCTGTGTCCTTCCTTTCTGAAATGTGGGCATTGGAGTTGCTCATCTTCTCTGACTCTCTGAAGTGTTCTGCTTGACATGTTTGCTCGCACTCACCCATGCCTTCCCTCAGTCCCTCTCATCTGCACTTAGATTCCATCTCACTGTGACCCAGTGACGTGGAACCTGTGAAGAGGCTCCACTGGGCATGGTCCTGGGAAGAGCTTCACTTCCAGACATAGATTGGAGATGGGGTGTGGTCCCCATGGTGTCAGTGCTGTTGGGCAGCAGGGATTGTTTAGGGCCCATATCTGGATGCACTGTCTGCTCTCTGTAGACCAGGATTAGAGGAGCTACACGTGTAAATCACATATTAATGTGCACAAATGCCTGGTAAATTCTGGAAAAGGAAACCAGTAAGGGGAAAACTTTTCTCTCTGATTTCATACTGCATTTGAAGCTAAAGGAATGAGTCACTGTGTTTCTGCCTGCAAACGCTTAATAACTGGCAATGAAATGAAATATTCAGACACAGATATCAGACACAGACATCATTGATAGAGGATTTTTTTATTCCGTCTTCCATTTTCAAATATGAAATCAGTATAAATGTCTAATGGCAGCAGACTTATTAAACCATTCTCAGCACATTGGTCCCATGGCGACTGGTTTTCCTACAGGGTCTCTTATGCAGCAGGTGTTTCATAATAATTTTGCTCACAGATTGGAGCAGAACTTTTTTGTCATTGGAAAAGATGGAAGGATATTCTTATCCCACCAATTCATATTAAATACAATTTTTAAAAAATTTTAAATGTCATATTACTTATATATTTGTTTCATAGTAAGAGTCCAAACAAACATGCCCCTTTGGCACTGACAAGCAAAGCATCCCCTTTCCTGGCAAGCTTTCTACCCTCCCTCACCTCTTCCCAGGAGAGGCACTGTTGTAAATTAATTCTTTAGTAACTGTTTGTTACAATATTTTATCCTGAAGTTTTTGAAAATTTACATGTTTTGAAGTTAGGAAACATGGATGACTTGCTCTTTTACATCCTTGTTGGAACATTCTCTGAATTAAAAGCTCAGTCACCTGTCCCAGTTTTGTGTGTCTGGCTTGGTCCAGGGAGGATGCTGTCTAATCAGTCCAGGAAGAGATTCTTGAGACCTCTCAAGCCTTTGCTGAGGATGTGTCCTCTCTGGGCTTTTGCTTTTTTTGTGTGTGACCGGTAAGGGGATCGCAACCCTTGTCTTGGTGTCGCCCGCACCGCGCTCAGCCAGTGAGTGCACCGGCCATCCCTATGTAGGATCCGAACCCGCGGTGCACTCTCCCGAGTGCGCCACGGGCCGGCCCTGGGCTTTTGCTTTTAATCCCCTGACTGATCAGTTTTGTCAGTTTCTACCCAGTAAGCTTACCTGTTGTCGGTGGTGCCACTGTAAGCTGTGGTTTGGATCTCCACCTAGAGTCTGCCTGTGTTACTGCACACACTGGTTTATATTGATTGCCCTCTCAGTGCCCCCCAACCTGGTGCCCTGTTACTTTCAGTGCTTATATTCAAGCAAGATATAAACTTGTCCCTCAGGCAGTTCCCTGAAAAGTCAGAAGGTTGGATGGATGCTCCCATACTTTCCCTCCCCTGGGAGAAATCATTAGTTGGTTGTTTCTTCTCGATGATGCCACATCATTCTGTGGCAGAGGCTGTGGTGAATGGGTGTCGTGGATTTTCCTACTGGCTCCCATAGGTTGGCTTGGCACTTCTCTGGGTTCAGGAGCCTCGTAAGATGGTTTCTGGATTTCTTACAAAGGTTGGTTTGTGTATTATTGTTAAAATCTTTTCTCCTCTGGGAGAGTAGGGTGTAGGGTTTCCTGTTCCTCTATCCTGCTGACAACATTCTTTCAGTGCATTGTATAATTCCCCACATAGGTTTAGAAATTTCTTTTGCATAGATGCCATGGTATGTTTTCTAAGGGAAATGTGGGATGTTTTTTGTGTGTATGTGTGTATCTGTGTGTGTGTGTGTCATTTTTTAAATTAGTGCTGGTAAAGAATAAAATTTGTTTTCAATATATTCTTATTGATTGCTATACTTAAGTGACTTTTTTTTCTAGGTTGCAATCATGTCACCTAGTAGTTTCAATACATCCAGCTATCGCCCTCCCCCCCAACCCACCCCCACTTTTTTTTCCTACATTTTTCCTTTGATACTTGCTGCTGCTCAGGTACCCTGTGCATTGGTGATTGGCTGCAGCCCTGGCCAGCTTTCTTTTCCCTGTCTTAATTTAGAAGAAATATATCCAGTGTTTACTTTTGATCAAGTTGTTTTATAAGATGTTCTTGCTTAATATCAGGGGTTTTTTGTTTCAAAATTTTCTTTTTGGCCTGATTTTTAATTATCTGATCTGGTAATTTTTTCAGGTATGTACTGCTGAAATTTATATTTTCTTCGATCATAATATGTTAAGTTAATATATAATACTAATTTTTTGGGGGGGTGGAGATTTAAACTTTTGACCTTGGTGTTATCAGCACCACACTCTAACCAAGTTTTATTAATACTCTAACCAAGAGTATTAATTACTGGCCAGCCCACTAGTTAATTTTTTAATCATATGTTATGGCTTCATTAGTGGAACAAATTTATAAACTCCATTGGGCTTTTGTTAATTCCTACATAACTAAATTTTAAAGGATAACATTGTATTTATATTTCTGAATATAGATATTTAATAGAGTTTGGCATATAAGTTTTTTTCATGTTGTAGCATTATTTTTAATAGCATAATATACAATAATGTTTATAAAGTAAAACTTGTACATTTTTGAGTCCCAAACATGCTGACATGAACATTAGCAAGAATAACAAAGACAAATACCGTCTAAAAAATACGTCATTGAGAGACAACTCCTTCTTTCAGTTGATTAAGTGTGTATGTGTGATGTGCATGCATGAGTGCTTGGATGCAAGACACATCATCATTTAAAATGTCTTATATATTTATTTATTATTTTATTTATTTATTTATTTTTGGTGGCTGGCTGGTGTAAGGATCTGAGGCTTTGACCTTGGTGTTACCAGCACCACATTCTCCCAAGTGAGCTAACCAGCCAGTCCAAGTTTTATATTTTTTTAATAGTTGAAATTACATCATAAGTGTTTTCTATGGCCTTAAATTTGTTCTACACTATAACGTTGAGTTGATAATAGTATGAATAGTAACTTAGTATGGGTGTGCGTGTGTGTATACATAAGGAACTTTTTTGCAGTTCCATGTTGTTATCCTTAAACTTGTTTTAGTTCTTCTCAGTTATGTAGCCGACTGTCAATTTACTTTTTGTACTGTATCTGTTATTTAACAGATGGTTGCTTTATGTTCTATTCTGATTTCTAGACACCTGGGTTCAGGTGTTGGATCTGCCATTTTTAGCTCTTTGACCTGAGGCAAATTTCTTAAAATGTCTGTGATATGTTTGTCTTTTGGTAAGATGACAACAGATATTTCTCTCATAGTCTATTATGTTATAGGAGTTAATATATGTAAAGCATTTAGAATAACGCCTAGCCCACGGGAAGTGTTCAGAAACTTCAGTCATTGCTGTTGCTGTCCTCATCACAGTTTTTAGATTCTGATCTTTCTTTCTCTCAAGCCACTGTGGACTTTGTCATGTCTGAAAATACCACTCATGCTCTATCTCATCTAGATACTGAATAACACCTGGCATGCCAAACATAATATCAGTATCTAACATTTCTGCAGAGATAAACTTGTGTTGATTTTTTTATCCGTGCGTTTCCTATATTGTCCACAAAAATGAGAATTCCACACTTATTTAGAGGATATCATAACCTCTTATGGAAAAGTATAATAAAACACAATTTAGGGACACATAACTAGCTAAAAATACCATAATATGGATCTGTCAGCAGGCTCACTTCAATCAAATCCATCCTTATAACTCTCTTCTCATTTTGTGTGAATATAAGAATTCTCCCCATAGCCCCTTGATAAGTGTGTTTTTCATTACAGGAACTGTTGACTTTCAGGGATGTGGCCATAGAATTCTCTCAGGAGGAGTGGAAATGCCTGGACCCTGCTCAGAGGGCTTTGTACAGGGACGTGATGTTGGAGAACTACAGGAACCTGGTCTCCCTGGGTGAGGATAACCTTCCCCCTGAAGCCTGGATCTTCCCTGTGTCTCTTTAGATTTTCACTCATGTGCTTCTTGGGAGCCCCTGCATTGCTTGACTGAGATTGAAGCCCTGTTGACTCAGAAATGAAAAGCTTCAATAATGTGCCATCTGGACTTTAACTGTCTTCTTTCTTTAGGTGTTGTGCTCCCTTCATGTTACATAATTTTTGTGGGTTAAGAGAATGCATAAAACCTCATGGCAGACTTTTAGAATATTTAATTCCCTTTTTCTGCCCCTGTGCTTTTGATTCAGTGGTTTCTGGAAGAGAGCCATATATCTGCATATTACAGTGTTCCTAAGCATTTAGAAGGAGGTAATCAAGGATGAATTTGTGAAATATTTTTCTGGATCTATCTATAATTTCTTTTGTAATGAAACGTATAGCTGTTCTTCTGGAAAAGCCCCAGCACATCATGTTCCTTTCTTTTTATAAGCAGGATTCTCTCCTTTTGACCTGAGTGTTATCTCTTTGTTGGAGCAAGGGAAAGAGCCCTGGACTGTGAAGAGCCAAGTGAAAATAGCAAGAAACCCCAATGGGTGGGAATGGATCAAAGGTGTGAACACAGGTAAGAGCTCAGATGGGCAGAGTGGAAGCCCCACCATTAAGTAGTATTTGGGAAACTCTTTGTAAGTAGGAGAGAGGTTTATGGGAAAACAAAAGTTTATTTTCTATGAGCTCTCAAAGGAAATCTTTCTCGTCCCCCACTTTTCATTCTGTTCTTCAGCAGTGCAATAGTTTGTCTTTTCACCTTCCAGTGGTGCTGCAGCTCAAACAGAAACAAAGGCAAAGGCTTTCTTAAAAACTTTGTCATCTGGCTTTTATGAACTCTTTGTTTCCTTGATTCTTAAGCAGCATAGGGAAGGCCATTTCAGAGATGTCTGTTTCCTTCTTGATCTCTCCTTCTGGTCTTGATTGTATCCAATGCTCAGCTCTCTGTCCATATAGATCAAAGCAGAGGCCTCCATGGTCCTGATACCTTGATCCATTAAGGTTTCATCACATTTTTGTACTTGGAAGACCTAAATGAGGAGGTGTGAAAACATTGGCTTCTCTTCCTTTATGTCTGGGGCCCCAGAAACTGCATGGAGCTGTCTCAAGCCCTCTCTGCTTATTCAAATCAAATTCCTGTTTGAGACAGGAAAAGCCAGTGTTTTTCCTACTCTCACAACCATTCCACACAGATCACTTCACTTCAGGTCACCAAAATGTGTGGGAATTTTCTTTACCCGTAACCAATCTGGGGCGAACATCAACTGGGTGTCCCGTAATTCATTTCTCATACTGTCTACCTGGAGTTGAAGTCAGAACCCGCAGGTTAAGGAATGAGTCCCCAAGACTGCCCCCTACTTCAGACCTCATAACAAATAGTAGACCGTCACCTATCCTTCCAGTTTTAAAAAAAAAAAAAAAAAAGCCCATTCTTGGGTTAGATTGATTTGCTAAGATGGCTCACAGAAGTCAGGGAAACACAACGTTTACCAGTTTATTATAAAGGATATTACAAAGGATACAGATGAACAGGCAGATTAGGAGATGCACAGGGCAAAGTACGTGAGTAGGGGCTCAGAGCCTCCATGACATCTCTGGGCACCTTTGTGTGTTCAGCATTTGGAAGCTCTCTGAACTCTCTGTAGTTCAGGGATTTTTATGGAGGCTTCATCATGTAGGCATGATGAATTATTAACTCAATTTCCAGTTTCTCTCCACTTTATGGAGAATGAGGGGTGGGGCTGAAAGTTTCATGCTTCTAATCTTGTCACCAGCCCCATTCAGGTGACTACCAGAGTTGCCTTATTAGAAGAAAATCGTGCTCCTCTTACCCAGGAAGTTCCAAGGGATTTGGAGCTCTGTGTCAGTAACCAGGGAAGTGAAGAGTTTGGATCCCCATACCAGTCAGCTGCCAAAAAAAAAAAAAAGTAACTGGGGAAGAACCCGGTATACATTTTTCTTATTTCACAAGGTCCCTCAGTCATTCTTCAGTTCTCCTTTTTCCACACTTCACTGGTGCGTGTAACTGGGGAGTAAGTTACAGAACGCAGAAACAGTCAACATAAAGATTCTGTATTTAATTCTCTGTTCTACACGGGGAACATATCTCACGAGAATGATGCCTCTGTTTTTAAGTCTACTGTCCTTTGGTTAAGCCAAAGCTAATTTCTTTCTTTTGGGGGGTGGGGCAGCTGTCTGCTTCTGGGATCCAAAGCCACAGCTAATTTCATCTTGTACATTTCCATATTTTATAATGAACTTGATTTTTATTTATTTAATCAGCAATTTTATATTTTTGATGTTTCACTGAGTTAGTACTTACCATTGAAATACACTTTTTTTTTTTTGGCATCTGGTCAGTTCAGGGATCTGAACCCGTGACCTTACTGAGATAACTGCCAGTCCAAAATATACTTTTGTCAAATTAAGTGTATTACGGTATATAAATTGGGAATTTTTTTTATTGGGAATTTTCAATATCTCAAGAATATACTCTTTTTATTATGATTTTTTAATTAATCACAGAAATACCATTAAATTGCCTTGCTGCTTTTGTCAAATTAAGTGTATTACGGTATATAAATTGGGAATTTTTTTTATTGGGAATTTTCGATATCTCAAGAATATACTCTTTTTATTATGATTTTTTAATTAATCACAGAAATACCATTAAATTGCCTTGCTGTAATTAGTTATTTAACACTCATTGCGTTTTCCATAGTTTGTTTTTAATTTTCTAAATATAACTAGGGGATATTGTTTAAATTTCACTTTTTTTCTTGAAACCGATGTCGTTTTCTAATAATTATTCTTCTTGTTCAGATTCATCACATCCATCGTGGTATTCTAAGTTAATTTTTAACTGTTTCATAGTCTTTTACAGTAGACTTAGCCCATTATATGTACTTCGTGGACTTATTCTCCACTGTTGTTTATATCACTTATATTTTCTGCCAAATTTCTGAAGTTCTGGAAATTGCATTCTTTAGTTTCATACACGAAGACTGTTTTGTTTCCCGTCTGTATTTTCATCTGAATTTCCTGTAATGTTCACCTGGTCCCTGTTAACCCACTGCCTGGTGCTGTCCTGTTGTTCTCTGGCTCTTACTTGCTGCTTATGTTGCTGGTGACCTCCTCCAGGGGTCTCCACGCCACTGCCAGGATGTTTCCACACTTTGCTGCTACTAATAGTGCCCTTCAGTATAAGCCATTCTCCACTGTGGGTCATTTACTTATTTTCTCCATAAGATTGCTTGTGTTCTCCTGGTGATATTTATGTAGTCAAATTTGTTAGTTTTGGATAAGTGCCCATTAATTTGTATTCATTCGTACTCACTACAGTGTCTGCTAATATGTATAGTAATAGTGACCCTGACATTATGTCCCTGTTTAAAATTTTGTCAGGTAAATTTTATAATATTTTACATTGTATGAGCTTAGCAGAGTTAAAATATACCACATTATTCCTCTTGTTTGAATTTGGATTGAATTGATTACAATGAGTATTTCAACTCACTTTCTGTCCTTTGTTCCTCTACCCACAGCCACCAGCAGCTACCATTCTGCTTTTCATTGTATAATACTGACTATTTTAGATCCCTCATATATAAGTAGAATGATACGGTATTGGTCTTATTATGACTGTTTCACTCAGCATAGTGTCTTCCAGGTTCATCCGTGTTGTAGCATATAAAGGTATTTCTGTATTTTTTAGGGATGAATAATATTGCATTGTATATATCTACCACATTTTGTTTATCCATTTATCTGTTGGTGGACACCTGGAGTGCTTCCACCTCTTGGCTGTTTTAAATGTTGCTATGAACATGGGTTTGCAAATACCACTTCAAGATCCTGTCTTCAGTTCTTTCGGATATATACCCAGAGGTGGAATTGTTGGCTTATATGGTAATTTAATTTTGAATTATTTGAGGGAGCATGATACACATTGAATATCCCTTACCTGAAATGCTTGGGACGAAAAGTGTTTCACATTTTGGATTTTTTCGGTTTTGGGAATATTTACATTTTATATATACTAGTTGAGCACCCTTAATCCTGAAATTCAAAATCTGAAATGCTTCAATGAGTATTTCCTGTGAGCATCATTTCAGCACTCAGAAAGTTTCGGATATTGGAGCATTTTGGATTTTGGATTTTCATATTAGGGATTCTCAACCTTTGCTTTTTTTCAGTAGTACCCCATTTTATTTTCCCATCAACAGGGCACAGAAGTCTCCCATTTCTCCACATCCTCACCAACACTTGGTATTTTCTGCTTTTTTGACAGTAAATATCCTAGGGAGTGTGAGGTGATATTTCGCTGTGTTATTTACATTTCCCTAATTATTACTGATATTTTGCATTTTTCATTGTTAGTCATTTGTATATCATCTCTGGAAAAATGTATTTTCAGTTTCTTCTCGGATTTTTTAATCAGGTTATTGCTTTTGTGAGTTGCAGGGTTTCTTTATACATGGGTACTTCAAAAAGTTTGTGGAAAAATGGAATTAAGAGATAATATGAATCCTTTCATGAACTTTTTGAAGACCCGTCCAATATTGTAGTTATTAACCTCTTATCAGAGATATGGTGTGCAAATATTTTCTCCCATTTTGTAGGGGTTTTTTTCACTCTGGTGATTGTTCCTTTTTTAAAAATTATTTTTAAAGTTTTTATTGACACTTAATTGTATATATTTATGGAGAATATTGTGATGATTTGATATATGTATATATGACACGTAATAATCTATTTAGAGTAATTAGCGTATTTATCACCTAAGACATTTATCATTTCTTTGTGTTGAGAACATTCAAAATCTACTCATCGAGCTATTTTGAAATATACGATGTATTTTTTGTTAACTGTAGTCACCCTAGTGTGCAATGGAACACTAAGTCCTGGTGACTGTTTCTTTNCATTCCATTGGTCTACGTGTCTGTCTTTATTGATAGTACAATAATGTTTTGATATTGGCAGTATTATAATAAGTTTTGAAATCAGTGCAGTTTTAGACTCCCACTTTTTTTTTTTCCAAGTTTGTTCTGCTATTTAGGCTGTCATGCAATTTCATATTAATTTTAGGATGAAAACTATTTCTGCAAAAGCTGCCATTGGTAATTTGCTAGGGATTTCACTGAATCTGTAGATTTATTTGGGTATTATTGACATCTTGTTATTAAGTCTTTCAATCCACGAACAAGGCATGTTTTTGCATTTATTTGTGTCTTCTCTAATTTCTTTCAGCAATATTTTGTAGTTTTCTGTGTACAAATCTTTCCCTCCTTGTTAAGGTTATTTCCAAGTATTTAATTCTTTTTAATACTGTTATAAATTGAATTGTTTTCTTAATTTTCTTTTCAGGTCATTCATTGTTACTGTATATAAAGGAAAGTGATTTTTTCATGGGGATTTTGTATCCTGTAACTTTTAATTTGTTCATTAGTGCTAACAGCTCTTTAGGGTTTTCTACATATAAAATTAGGTCATCTGAACAGAGATCATTTCTCCCTTTGCAACTGCATGCCTTTTGTTTCTTTCTTGTTATCTAATTGCTCTGGTTATAATGATCTA